ACATGTATGTAAAATATTAACTTTTTAGAGGGGTCCACTAACAATGAGCATTATTAAGTGTAGACATCTTTAATTCTGTTATCATTCAATGCAGCAAAAGCCTTCAAGATTGTAGAGTTTGGAAACAAAGACAACAAAATCAAAGTCTGTTTTGTGACGACATTCATCCTTTTATCCTAGAATCATCCTGGAAAGTTCCATTCACCAAATTTAGTCTTTTGTGCTCAAGGATTGTTCACGGTGATAAGAATAGAGCGAGGAAGTATAGGGCGTAAAGTTATTGTTGACTTTAGCCTTGAACTAAATTTAGATAGGTGAGAAAGACCAGGGCATGGCATTTAAGATGACTGAGGAACATTGTTCGTTCAAAAATCACGTGTTTAAGCCAACACCCACGGATGACAGTTGTCAATACCGTACATGTACAATGTATGTATTTTGTCATTGATAATGATGAGTGACTGATGAGTGACATTTAAGAGGACTGAGGAACATTGTTCGTTCAAAAATCAAGTGTTTAAGCCGACGCCCACCGATGACAGTTGTCAATACCGTACATGTACAATGTATGTATTTTGTCATTGATAATGATGAGTGACTGATGAGTGACATTTAAGAGGACTGAGGAACATTGTTCGTTCAAAAATCAAGTTTTTAAGCCAACGCCCACGGATGACAGTTGTACAATGTGTACATTTGTATTTTGTCATTGACAGTGATGAGTGACTACATGTACATGTACGGGTACATGTACATATGTACATAATGTACATGTACATGGATTTATACAGAGGATTCTTCGTACATTTGTACTTCTTTCACAACATAGGCCTATATGTTCACAAATTATGATGTAATAAATGTCACTTTTCACAGTGTTTCTACTAGATGGCTGTTTCGGGTCAGGGTCAGCAGGTTGAGTTGAGTTGACCCTAAACATTGCAACTTTCCAGCTGAAACCTAGAGGCAGCAACAGGAAAGTCAAGGGCTATCACTTAATCTTTCGTTAGGCCAAATAAAAAAAAACATGTTTCTCATCCGGGTTTTCGGAAAAAAAGGAGGAAGCGGGGCTTTTTATTTTTTATTTGTTTCAAGATGGCCGCCATTTAAACATTTCCTGCAATTGTTGGTGTTTCCACTGTTCAAAGACACTTTTAAAATGAAAGATAAGTTGGACAAGAGAACTGAACACGTGTATTTACAGTGTCATTTAGTCTTGTATTGGTCTACAATTTATTTTCCGATGAATTTGTGGACTTTTTCGGTGTTTTTTTTACTGCATTTTTCAAAAATAAAAAATTATAAAAAAATCCAGGCGGCCTCCAAAAAGGAAGCGGGCGGGGACGAGAAACATGTTTTTTTTTTACTTCGCCTTACTCTGGTGTCTCCTTCCAGCAGTTCCTTCCAGTTTGATCCGGTCCAGCTTACCATATTGGCTCTGCTCGGTCATTTTTATTTCCTGGTTGAATTGCCAGACAATTTTTGTTCACACTATATCAATTGCACACACTGCCCTCATTTTGTGTGTTGTGTTACAGATCTCCTTGTTATATTGCATCTTCGGATAACTATAGCTTTCTCAAATCAGTCTTGTTCTAGATCACATGGCCTGGGTAGAGGCTGGCCACAACTTTTTTCCCAGTGCCTCTGGCTAGATAATTTATGTAACAAGACACCTCTTAGTTTTTTGTGTGAACATGCACTGCTTGTTTCCCTCCCCTCTCCCACATTGGGGTTTTCTGCATGTACATGTGTATACATGTACATGTACAGTACTTAAAGGGAAAATACAACATTTGCAAACATCAAAAAATAAAACTACCAAATCATTTTGAAATACATTGCTGGACTGTTAGTGAATGACAGTGTAAAGCATCCTGTAAAATAATGGCACCTGGTATACTGTCATTTTCAAGAAAAGTGGTATTTTTGTATCAATTTCCAACGCTGATCGGCCGATCAGCGTTGGAAAAAACTGGCTTTTTTTTCAAATACTGGCCCCAGTTGACCATCGCACTTGTTTGCAATCGATTACACACCTATGAACGGGTACAAGCCAGCTAGCCTGGTTCTCTGACCTTACAATTCCCCAATATATGTAAACTGCTCTGTTTCTTCTTAAATGGAGTCAGGGAACCAGACTACTGGAAAATGATTGTTTTTCTTGGTTTTTATAGCATTTTCGAACCCAAAACCTCAAAAAAGTCAGTGTAACTACACGTATATTTGCTATATATTTCCAACTCCCCAATTCCACCCATTTCTGAAAAGTACAGCAAAAGCAAATGATGTATATTCCCTTTAACATGACCTGGACCTGTCAGCCAAATTGACTGTCAAATCACTGCAAAACCACAGGTACATGTATGTCCAGTTACATGAACATGAAGATTAAAATTAATGACTGGTCTTATTGGTCAACAATACACACTAGCCTTCGCTAGACATGACGACATACCAGTACTTTCCACTGCCACCTGTTCCGGCATTCCCCAACCACCCAGGTGCTTTCTGACTCAGTCAGGAAATATGCGTACGTGCAGTAGTTGAGTATTTGCTCATCATGAAGCCACTAGTATTGTGAAAACGTGATCACAAGTTATTGATCTAAAAGTGGCCATACATGTAATGTACAGGTACATGTGTTGTGTTGCTAAACACTACCAGGATCGACGAGTACAAAACTCAAGGAAATATGTACGGAGACCAATTCTGGGTCCAAATAATTTATTATACATGTACATGTACAAATGTACATGTATGATGACATAATTTTTCATTGAGTGCAACTTCTAGGCAAAGTGTCGCCCCTCTCCCCCCCCCCCCCCCCCCCCCCCCCCATATAAGGCTGAATTCTATGTAGCTGTTCATCACTTCGTTGTGTTGGACGATTTAATAGCTCATTTGCCTGTAATTAAAGGATTCAACAACTTTTTATTACTTAAGAGAACAATGGTGGATCAGTTTTAAGCGTCTGTTTGACAACCAGTTAGGGGCCTGATGGCCGATAATGGCCCACTTGCACAATGTGGTTTTCACTGTTTCTAGTGAGTATTGCCACACAGTGGCAATAAAATAGTTCATGTGAGGCCATTCTGAGACTGACTGTGTTTTCTCCATGGTTTAGCCCCACTTGGGGATATCTCCATTGTAAATTCCCACTGCCTGTGTGTCCCCAAGTGTCCCCAAGTTGTTGACTGGGCTGACCTTGTATGGTGTCTTGTGACACCAAGGTCTGGCCAACAGAACAGTGTTGATACAACAGTTCATGTTGTGATCCAGTGTTGACTGATTGCTAAACAACTTGAAGTGAGCCAATCAGGTTAGAGGTTATATGGTTGCCATGAATGCTTGACAGGTGGAATGTCTGGGCTTAAAGAGACTTTCTTAAAGGGAAAATACAACATTTGCAAACATCGAAAAATAAAATGACCAAGTTTTTATGAAATACCTTACAGGATGTTGGTAAATGACAGTCTAAAGCATCCTGTAAAATTATGGCACCTGGTGTGAAGTCATTTTCAAGAAAATTGTATTTTTGTTTACATTTCCAACGGTGGTCGGCCGACCACCATAGGAAAAACCTACATTGTAACTATTTTTCACTACTGCTCCAAATTTACCATTTTTTCAGTCCAATTTTGTTTGCTAATTGGTTTTATGTTCATGAATGGGTGCAGGTCAGCTAGACTGGTTCCCTTAGCGTACAATTTTTCGGCATCTGTAAATTGATCCATTTCATCTTCAGTGGAGTCAGGGAACCAGACTACTTGAACATTTTCGTTTTTCTTGGTTTTTCCAGCATTTCCGAAAACAAAACTTCAAACATGTCAGTGTAACAATAATTTGATCTATTATAGGCCTACTAACCCCTCAAATAGTTCATTTCTGAAAGTTAAAGCATGAGCCAATGATGTACATTCCCTTTAATCAACAACCCTTTAGAACATTCTTGGACCCTGTGCCATGCAAGAACATGGTGTCATTTCAAGCTCTCTGAGTGACACCCAAGTTGAAACCTTATAATCCCAAAGCCTTGAACTGGAGACACTTCAGATATTCCAGTTGAGTCATCAGACGTATACGTGTACTTTGTGGGGATGTAAGTAAACAAGTTTGTTTCGTAAAAATCGGACACATTTCTTGAAGAAGTGTGGACACCTTTCTCTGTTTTTATTCACGAGCAAAGAGTTGCTGAGACTAGAATTGGGTTGGGAGACATTGCAACATTTCAGAGCCTTTTCAAATGTTGCACCTCGATTTGGAACCGTTTGCCGCATGAACTAATACTATAGACTCGGAAAATATCACACTGTTCACACAGAAACTCAAAACACATCTCTTTATGCTGACGTTTTCCAACAACTGAGGTTTTTTCTTTGCATTTAGACCGGCGCCTTTGAATGGTTTCCAGAGATATACATTTGATGTTGTTAATATTGACATTTTCCATCGAAACCTTATTTTATGTTATTTTATCAATGAGAAATGACTTGTTTCAGTCAACTTTTGTCCAAAAAAAAAAAAAATTGTGGAAAAAGGTAGTCAAAGTTAACATTTTAGTCATGCTGATTTGGGGTTTCTTCTTTCTTCTTCTTAGGCCAAAAAAAAAAATTTTTCGGTCTCTGGTCAGACCAAAGTTCCGGAATTGACGCGGCCACGCGACTTTTTTTTTTTTTTTTTCCTTTTTTTTTCTTTTCTTCAGCTTGGATTGTACAGACAAGGTGGGTACTATTTTGCTTTGTTGGTGTCCTCATGTACATTGGTGGCCTCCATAATTTGCCTTGGTGCTTTCGATCATTTGCCTTGGTGCAATTTCCCATTCCTTGGTGCTCTTTGGTAAAAAAAATTGAGGAGGTGTGGAAATAGAGGGCGCTGTTGGAGCTACCGCGGAACAGTTTGGAATAAAAAAAGATCGACGCGCATGCTTAAAATCGACGCGCGCGCTGACCAGAGACCGACTTATTTTTTTTTTTGGCCTTATCCCGTACACCTGACAGATTTCTTGCACTTCTGACCCAGAAGTCATACATCAGCCAGAATCTTCGAAGATTGAAAAGCTAAACTTGCGGGTGATGGTTTCTGCGGAAAGCTTTTTCTTGATGATTTCCTTCAGAGGCTGATTTAATCAGGGCCTGGAAATGAGCCACGATTCCCTAAGGTGAGGCACTCGTGTATTGCTTCAACTTCAATATCCCATTTGTAGATACTGAGCCTTTTGAAGTCGGAAGGTATCCACTTTAATACCCTATTTTCTCCACATTTTCCACTCCTGCAACTTTCTTGGGATTTTCTGGTTTGGGAATTTTGGTTTCGTTGTTTTAGAAAAAGAAAGAAAAGGATGGATGCCCCCACCTTCCTTTCCGTCTTCCTCTCTCTCTCTCTACCCTTCGAGGTATTCGGAGGTTTGGGATTTTGCTGTTTATATTGCAGTTTTGGGATAAAGTGATGCTTTGCTCTTTTGTTTTGATTCATAGTGTACGTACCTTGCTTTCAATCATTCATACACCCTGCCCCCATTTGGGAGAATTTTTTAGTGTTGTGTGTTTAATAATGCGTGTGTGTGTTTCCTCAGTAACAAAAAAAATCATTAAAAATATAGCCTAGAATTACATTTGGAGTGCAACAGGTAAACATCAATAGGGTATCGAGTGAATTACCGGTACGTGTATTGTCCCACTAGAGGTTAAAAATAAAACCCCAAATAACTGAAATTCCACAAAATCAGTGGTCCAAACGCTTTCCTTTCACAAACAACAAACAAAACAAATATTCTTTGAAGAGGAAGCACGAATCTGTCCAGGTCAAAAAAACTTTTCCTTTTTTTTATTGTGAAATGCACACATGTACTTCAGCTTCACAGTTTGTGAAAATTACCGTACGTCAGTTTCATGTTACCACACTGGGCTTGTTTTTCAGCAAAGTCAAAGCCTGCTTTTGAACTCCATGCACATAGATGATGTTGATTGTAATTTTAAACCTCAAGTCCCAGGGTCCAAGATATTTCATCACTTTGACCAAAAAAGGCACTAGCTACGATCTGATGAAATGTTAACGTGTACCAAGGGAAAGTGGCCAAAAGACCTTATCTTGTCGTGCACTTAACATGGATCCTAATTTTCCAAATGAAAGAAACCCACAGCCCCCCCCCCCCCCCCACCATTCCTGCAGGTTTGCGTAGGGACAGTGACCAGGGTTGAGTGATTCTGCGGACCATTACAATTCACTGCAAATTATACAATAGGGGGCCAGCAGCAATTGTTATCCTAACTGAATGGCGCAGTCGCCCAGAACTGTGAGAACTTTTTACAAATTGTCCACAAGCTCTCCCAAATCCCTGGCTGCTATTATGACTGAGGCACTCCTCAGGAATTCTAGTATCCCTTGGGCTGTGGTTGAATCGAATTCATCAGGGCAGCATGCTGTTTTTCCTCAATCGTGCAATTATGACTGTATTTTTTAGTGTACAGGAATGTAAATTGTACTTTGCGAAAAAGTTGTGCAGCAGTATGTGACATGTTTTATGTAAACTGAGCCCCAAGGGATTTCAAGTACGTTGTACTTGCACCTGTACGTGCCCAGGTGTAATGCCAACGTGAAGTTGCAGTGCAAAAATGTAAAGTATTCAGTCCAATATGTACGTGAACATGTTTGTACAATGTACTCGTTGGAATTTCTCAAAAAAAGGATAATATTTACAATTCAAAAGTTGTGTAAAATACTTAATTTGTAGTTTGTACTATACAGAACAATATAGCTTAATTTCAATTTTCCTAGATTGTCTTATATTAGTTGTTTACGTGTGTACATGTACATGTATATTAACATGTAATCATGGTTTTGGGAAATTCTTTCCGGACTCTTTAAATTCTTGATTTGATTTTTTTTGTTTGGTGGGAGGTGCCTTTGTGTGGGTGTGTGTGTGTGGGGGGGGGGGGGGTGTTTAATTTGTATTTTCTCAACTTCCACTCTTGACAGACTACTGGTAGTATTCGGTACATACCGGTACCTTTGCAGCGGTACATGTAATTTATTGTAGATGTATATATCCAGGAACTTATCAGTACATCTTTTAAAAAAGTCAACTTTCTACACTTAAAAAAAAACCCACGGAAATGCAATGAATAAATACGGTCAGAAGTCATAGATGGGCGTATATGTATAGTGCTTCCAGAAAATCTGAATCCTTATGGCCAGTGATTTAAGTTTGATCAAGTTCCTTGCTCTATGTTTTATAATCTGACATATGTGTACATCCGACGAGGAGCAAGTGTTTCATCCTCTTGATTCACAAAGAAACCTCACCATCTCTTGAGAAGGAAGTAATAAATCTCCAAGATGTGTCAGCCGCTGGGCACATTGTACATGTAGGTCAAGGTTGGCATGTCATCATGTCGTCAGTAGTAATCGATGACCCCTCGATACAACATGGCTGGTTTTATCACGGCCACAGAACAGGAAACTGGTATAACATGGTACCGTAAAAGATCCTTCCGTTGGACATGCAAATGGAACTTGAGCAGGGTTTGAATCATTCCAAAATTTGGCACAGATCCAGAAAATGAAAATGACTTTTAAAATTTCTCGATCATAGAGCAAGATAAATGTTACGTCCAAAAATATGTTTCTTTAAACTTTTAGTGTCCTCAGTAACCCCTTTCACTCCCTTCTCGAGCTCCGCCTTGAAACGAAAAAAAAAGGACTTCCTGAACAAGCTTTTTTGCTTCCTGTTTAGACTCAGTCTATTAGTTATCTGTTCAACCATGCCAAGCAAATTAGTGAAGCCACCAATCCATCAACTGTCCTTTCTTCTTGTCAAATCGCTCTGCCCTGACACTGCAAAGCACAGGCTGTGGCATGTTGACTGTACAATATGAGCTTCTAGATCCTCTTGCTTGCCGCAGGGCTTTATTGGTAGAGGGCAGATAAGGACATGTTAATTTTTTTTAAATATCAATCCTGTGATGGCTTCTTATTGCATGAAATGCATCTCTGGGCACTCCCATGATCATACTCTAGACATCCAACATGAATGTGTCCTCTGTTGCTTTCCTTCCCTGGGCCATCAAATGCCTCTTGGCTCTAGGCTTAACCCTTTTTTAATGCTACCCAGAATCCTTTTGTCACCCCAGCACCCATCAGGAATATCCTGAGTGGAATTTTCAAATTAACTATTTGTTAATGTAGCCTGTCATTTCCCCCCTTGCTCCCCCTCCCCCGCTCTCTCTCTGTCTCTTTCTGGTGACACACAATCAAGGATATCAAGGAGTTTCACTTTCAGTTTGTTTGATAGGTACAATGAAGTCTTCTAATTGAACATGGAGTTCCAATTAATTTTGGAGTCTCATTCAACAAGTCCCAAGTCTGTATGGTATTGCACAGAAATACATGTATACATGCCAGTGATATGTGCGCAACATACCAGAGATGATAAACATGTCCATGTACGTACATATGCATGTTTACTATACATGTACATTGTACAATGGGGTGCATACCTATGTTCCCCAATACCGATGTTCCCCAATACCGATGTTCCCCGAAATCCCTACCAATATACCCTAACCCTAGCCCTAACCCTAATCCTAAGGATTTGGGGGAACATCGGTAGTGGGGAACATCGGGTAGATCCCGTACAATGTACATGTATTTACACCCATCAGTAGAACAATTCATTAAGATGGACGATTATGATGTGCGACTATGAAAATTTTCTATTACCGATTTAATTGTATCAAGAATAAAATTGATGTTCAGTGTTGAAGATAAAAGTGTAATATCGAGGTGTTGTACCGGTAGCTGCAACTTATATTATAGCAAAGAAAGGTAAATGTGCTTTCTGAAATGAATGATCTTGAAACCACTTTAAATAGATTTTTCCAGCTGGGTTTTCCCAGTTAAAATCCAAAACTATCAACTTGTTGCATACTTTGTAATATTTCAGGAATATCAAAAGTGCATTGTTCTTAGTTCAGTTGCAAAAAGTATCTTCAGCAACCATAAAATAAATAGCTACATGTACTTAATTATCTAATTCTCTACAAACATAATCCATCCATTGAATGTCTTTAAATTGCACAATACAAGTAAAGAAATGGTTCTTAAAACCAACACTCATCAAAAATGGTTGTCAGGCTACATGTACATGTACAATTGTACATGATGAATGTATACTACTGGTATACATGTACACATTGAACAAAATATTACAAACTTTTCTATCTTCCTTTTTTTTAGATTATGAACTGAAAATGTCTGTAACTTTCTTTGTTTCCTGAACATTGGAAAAAAGTCAGATATCAGGCCAAGACTGTTTTCAATCTGTAATATAATATGTTCGGGTGTTTTAGTTCCTGGATGCGTCCCTATTGATGACAGGGTCATATGTATCTCACGTATTTAAGTTTTTTTTCCTGAACACGGAAGTAATCGGGATATAGATAAACTCTGCCTTGTCAGACAAAGCAGAAGGTCAACACACAATGGATACTAGAGTGGTGTGTCTTGTCTATTGTTGTGATCAATTGTGCTTGTGATGTCCTTATTAGGGAACAATAGAGTCAACAAAAGACACTCTGTCAGCTTATATTCTGAAATTCTGTTCTCTCTTTTGTTGACGGTCCCAGCAAGACTGAGAAAGAGGATGTGACTGCAAGTAAATTGATGAAAGAGATGAGTTCATTGTCGTTGGGGGATGGCCTGTTTTGTTAAAGCTTGCTGATTTTGTGACAATGACATTTTGTGCGGATAAGTGGACTACAGCATTACAATTTCGAAAGTCTTTGTGGGTTCACTTCAGATGTTTGTTTTTATACTACGTAGGTTCAAGGCTGTTCAAGGATAATTGTTGGTTTTGAATAATAAAAAAAAAAACAGTGGGGAAATATCCCCAAGCATCTTGAGGCTCAAGAAATTTCAAAGCATTGGAAATGAAAAGTTATTTCATTTCATTGTTTTTCTTTTAAAAAGGTACTGAAAATCACAATATTTATTCAATCTTTCCACAAGAACATTCTCTAAAGGACACAAAAAGAAGTGAGTTTTCCATTCTACATTTTCTTTGCTTTTCGGAAATTTAATAACACAATGTATTTTGGTACATGTATCAAGTATCAACAAATAGGCCTACTTAACATTTTGGATCGCATTTTGGATATTGAAATAAAACAGGGTTGAGATTTGTCGGGATTTTTTTGTTCTGATTTCAGGATTTTTTGTCAGGATTTTTAAAGAAAACCCTTTTCATAATCTGCAATTCCTGAGGTTTTTTTTACCATAAAAGTTTACATACATGTACATGTACCCGGTACTGTATAACAAAAGAAATGGGTATTTTGTAATGAGTGCCGTTAGAGAAATGCAAACATACATATGTACATATGATTTATGGCCCTATGTGACCCTCACGTGATCCTCACACCCGCAGCTGATTATTCCGCAGATGTTTCGTTTTCTCCCAATCTCACCCAGGATCAAAAGTGCTCTGAAAAACCTTGTTTTATTTGTCTAATCCCCAAAAACTCAAAAGAACAAGAGCAAACACATTTTATGTATGTACATACATGTACCGTAAGTGGGGGGGAATAATAGGGAGAAACCCTGTGGTGTTTTGTTTCTGTCTGCCCTGCCGACCTTTGTCCTAGCCAAGTATTAGTTTAAATATTGACAGAGAGCCAATGTCAGTGTTGTGCCTGGAGCAGAGTGCCTGGAATCAATGTTTGCACAAACATGCCAAGAGCTGCAATGAATAATACATATCCGTCAAAAATACCGGGAGCAAGTTTTTCCAGGACACTGGGATATTTACTCGGGAGTTTTTGAATATCATGACGGATTAACTGGAATTAAACAACAGATTGTGGATTACATGTATGGGTATGTTCATGAGCTTTGTTAGTTTTGTGATCAGATTGCCTGGCATCCTATTATCTTGTAACCATGGAGGTAGTAAGACATGCAGTTGGGCAGCGATTTTCAATGTGTATCAGTATTATTTTTGCATTGACACCATGCACATGTTCGTGGTATGATTTCTAACTTGATTCGTGTACACGTATGGTAGTTCTCACATCTTCTGAGAACATACATGTACCGGTACGTGTACAGTGTACTTATGAATTTGATGACGACAAAGTTGGTATTGAAAAGTAGGATTTTAGCCTTTTCATCAATTTTTGTCCTCATGCGGAAAAAAAACATCACTTGTTAACAAAAGTGTATCATGCACGGTGTTCAAGTTATCAACAGGAAGTATGAATTTCGGCATCCTCACATTTGCCTCCCTAAGATCTGAATCATGAATTGAGTAACAGCCTCTTAAAATAGACATCTGGTGAAATAGTACACATGTACATGTACATGATCTGTGGCATTGAGATAATTGATGTAGACACTGTCAATAACTCAAAGACGTTTTGCTCTTTTTTTCCCACCAGTCTAAGACGGTGCTGGATGTTCTTCAAGAAGATTGGAGGGACAGCATGAAGCACGGAACAGGAAACAAGGCTTCATGAGTTTACCAGTTACCCCTCAGGGAGGATTTCATGAGACGTGACCTCACACGATGAAAGAGGATAACAAGCCCAGCAATATCGCATGTGCATCGTTTGTGCCGCATCGCTTCAAGGCCACACAGTGCGGCCGATGCTTCAAGTCTCACGCCCAGCACAGGCAGTTCATGAGAGGGAACAAGAACGGCCATGCCCAAATCATGGACCTTCATGCCAACCATGTTGCCCGAGATTCTTCATCAGACGAGGACAGGCCGTCCAGTGCAAAGCTAGTGATCATGAACGGCAGGTACTCACTGCTGGCTGATGAGAGTGGTGAGATCTCAACTGACTACTATGCTCCAGACTCGGTGATGAACACGGAGGAGGTGGGGCAGCCGGTTGATGGCAAGGACACAAGACCACGACGGCAGATCCCAAGAAAGTCAGCTGCTTGCAGGACAAGAGAAGCTGGTCTGAAGCGATCTTCGCGGGAAAGTGGTCTCAAGTTAAACATTCCTGTTGATCAAACCCCATTGAACAATCTTAGTCTTGTTTCAGATGCCCATGAAAACAAAGAAGGCAATGGATTTGATTCAGTGTCGGACAATGGAATTGAAAATTACAGAGGCTCTGAGTTGTTCAGGGTTGTCAAACACAGTGGGAACGGTAGGATCAGTGAAGGTGAAAAAATCCTAAATACAAGGGACAGTGCTGGGATACAATATCGCAAGGCTGCCCGGACATCACGCAAGTCATCAATCACTATCTCCAAAACTGCCAGGGAATCAAACTCGGATTCCAAAAAGCTTCAGGAGTTCCAAGAAGTTGCCCGGAACCTCCGTCACGTTGCCAATCCATATCTGGATCTTAACGAATTGAATGGAAATCATTGCCAGACTGTGAGCAGAAGTCTTTCCATTTCGGACAGTGACACAAGTCCGCCATTGAACAGACAGGACCTCGAAGAGAGACAAAGGACAATTGAAGCAAAGACCATAGAGGAATTTGCCAATACAGCATTTCAGACTTTTTCGGGTCATAGTAAGCATGATACTTTGCCACGAAACCTAGGCACAGTGGTTGCTAGACCATCAATTGTGAATGGTAGCAGGCATCAGAGACAAACATCAGATCCTGAGGTGTTCCTGCCTCTTGAGAAGGAAGAGATGCAAGTAGTGTCAATATCCACCAATGAATCCCCCAGGTCTCGGGACCTTACAGCCAAGAAGCAAGTGGTAAGAAGCAGTAAGATAAGCTCTGAGATATTCTTTGGTATAAGTTCTTCGTCAGTCCCAAAGCAGATAAGCTCAAGGCGAAATGACAACTCCCAAGAAGACATCAAGGCTTTTCTAGATCACCCAGAGAAACCGGTGATGATTGTGGCAGCGGATGGAAGCATCTCTCATTACCGAGGATCAGTAGAGACATCCCTTGAGAGCAACGACTCAAAAAACGAGCAGCAAGAAAAGAGGCTTTCCCCTTCTAGGCATCTCGCGAAACCTTATAAAGTTGTGGATGTGCTGCAAAAACCGCCTGAGCATCCACCAGACGTTGAATTTCCTGCATCCCCAAAACTCCCCCTTAGTCCCTCACCAAGGTATATGTCTTCTGACCACAGTACGCAGCAAAACTCGGAAGTTTTTGGAACCAAAGACCTGAAATCTCCTCTTAGTGAAGCTGATGGAGACATCACACCACCCTTTCCTATTCTCTTGTCTGAAACTGAATCAGAAACGAGTCAGAAGTCTGACAAGAGGAGACACTCGAACTCTTCAAATTACAAAGTCCCAATTTTCATCAGTCCTAAAAACTATGACAATGTGGGAACAGTTTTATCGGACATGGAGTCGGCCAAAAGCGATCTTGCAAAGGACACTCCGGAAATGAGTGGGGAAGAGAGTTACGGATACTTGACCCCCCTACGTCCTATAATGGAGATGAAACAGGTTGATAAAGAAATCCCACCTGTTCCACCTGTTAGGACCACTTCTGATACTCAGCTGCATTTGTCTGAAGTTGAGGAAAAGTCGATGAATCCAGAGAAGTATAAGCAGAAGGTGCAGCCCAGGAAACCCCGAAGGTTCCAGGAGCAGAACTCCAACAACTCTCAGTCCAGCAACGAATCTCGCTGGCGGTCCAAGACACACCCACTCGGTGAAGAGCCTTTGTATGCAAAGGTAAATGTTCAGGCCAAGAAACCCAGTTCCCCTGTGGCCAGATCAAACACTGATGTTGGAAAGTCTAAGCAGAAGCGTGTTGCCCCACAGCCTCCTAACGGGGACATCCAAGATGCCATTTATGTCTTGCCTGATAGTCTCCCCCGTGGCCTTCCACCTCCCCCTCCAAACAAGGGAATAAGGCGATCTGGTGAGATGGATCTTTCTGAGGCTTCCCCTGTCAGGCCAGGGAAGCCCACAGCTCCTTCTCCACCAACTGAAGCTCAGTTTGGATCAGTCTATGAGGCCATGGATCGTAAAACAAGCCCCACTAAGACGGCTCATAATGAGACCGCTACTAGTCCAGTAAAAGTTACCTCTGGTAGTCGAGTTCAAAGTACGCCTAGACAAACTTCCCCTGTGACACAACGAAGAACTCAGTCTCCACAAGGTAGGCAACCACCAATAACCAAGGGAAAAGTTCAAAGCCCTACTCAAAAGCGGAAATCTGTCCCTGAATCCAAAGGAAGAAATTCCCCTCCCCATTCCACGTCCCCTGTGGCCACCCTTCCACGTCCCCTGTCACCTCCTATTCCCTGCACCCGCTTAGAGGTTGTGCAGTTACCCGATAGCTCCCCGCACCCAAGTCCAAATAACAAGGAGACTAAGTCTAAAAGGTCCAAGCTTCCATGGAGACGGAGGAGGAAACGGGATGATCGAGGGAGCCCTGAGAGGGACTTTGATGCCACCGTGGTTGAGAAATGGCTTGAGAGTGTCCATCAGTTAAGGTTAGAAGAAGATGCCCAGAGGAACTCCATGGATCGGATGGATGTAATCAACGCCTACCGGGGAGAAAGGACAGCTTTCATCGATCACTCTGACCTGCAGTCACCAAGTCTCAGCACCTCCCCTGAGCAAAATGCTGATGACTCAGACGGGTCAGGTGTCCGAATGCGGGCCAACTCCTCTAACAAACGAAGAGCTCCTGAACCACCTGCATCAGGCAGGCCAGCAAGTTGGATGGCAGGCACTCTTGACTCTCCAAGTGGTTCCACAGAAGACTTCCTACCCCTGCGGAAGAGTTCTTCCTTGTCACCTCGAAGTAGGAGAAGAGCAAGTTACGGTGACACTATGGTGCAGTACGAAAATACAGGTGAGTTCTACTGATGCTCCTTATCAGGATAAAATCGCTTTAATAATATTTTTACCTTTTTCATGAATCCAGTTGACTTGCTCATATAGAGTACCGAAGTTTGCGGCGTATTGTGTTCCATGCGCACAGCTTAAGTGTGTGAAGAAATCAGCGTGCGAACCAGAGTGAACCAGAACAATGACACAATACTCTATTCAGCAGCTCTATTGGGTACTCTATTCATATTGACTGGGTCATGTTTGCTATTGCTTTGGATGACAGTCACCATCACAAATAGACTTGTAAAAACAAGTTAAATGCCGCCTCTTGTTTTATAACAAACAATTGCGTTCAACTCCTAGATACATTTGAAAATGTAAATATACAGTAGAAACGAAAGTAACCATGGGAAGAAAAAACTACTTATTTGAGTTCAGATGCAGTTCTTTTACTCCGATTGCTACAGGAGTACTTCGTCAGAGACAGAAAAGGCATGCCCCTCCCAAGCCAGAACGTAGACGGCGCAACATGACAACAGGCTTTGAGAATTTACCATCCAACAAAGAATCAAACGTCATACCACCTGGCTTTATGAGACAAACTTCATCAGACCCGGATTTCACCAAGACGTATGACCTGCTGCCAGGTGCTCAACCAATCGTATCGGCAGGAACGTCTCCTCTGAAATCAGCGCTGAAAACCCCTCGCTCGTTTGAAACAAAGAAGGCGGAGGGTGACACTCAGGCTCAGCCCAAACGCCCTGTGAGGATCATTGCACCGCAGAAGAGCTCGGAGAAGGAGCCCTCGTTTGTGAACATCTACAGCAATATAGAGATCAAGCAGAGGGGACTGGGAACCTCTGAGGCTAAGAAGTCCGCCACTTCGGTGATGTTCACTGTGGATGCTGAAACACAGTGTGCATGGACAGCACCAGTGGAGAATGGAGAAGAGTCCAGTAACTCAGTGGGGGATCCTGGCATCTGCAAGGACATTTCTGACATCAACAGGATGGCTCTAGCCAGGCTAGCCGTGGCAGCACCAGGGCATGCTGGGATCGATGAGGCTGATGTTGGCGTGATGAGACCTTGGGAGGAACCCCATCTACTTGAGGATCAACCTTGCTGTACTGTACCAGGTGGAGCCTTCTACAGGATTGCTCATCCACAGCAAGAGAACGTGGTCTCCGCTGTGATGGTAAGTAAATAATGTAAAAGTGTACAGTTTTGTTTTGCGATAGTTGTAAGCCAGTGTGAAACTGCTCATCATTCTTTTCAAGGTCAAAAATAAAATTTTAAGAATTACAGGGAAAACATCCTCCAAGATTTTCCGCCTTTAACACTTGTTTTGAAAATTTACAAATGGATTCACCTTTTCTGCAATTCATGACGAGGTAAACAAGGCTCATTAACCTTGAAAGAAGTTGTTTCTTAATATTTCAAGGCACAAGTAAAAGAACATGCTCGAGTCTGACTTCCACTTGAATCGTTGACAGAATCGATGTAAAAATAATCTCCTTAAGTCTAATAATCTCCTTAAGTCTAATCCTTGATTTTTTTTCTTTTACCAGATCGGTACAGATGCTACCAAAGCATCTACCCTCCTTCATGTTGCTCAGTGCATCCAGATGATATCAGCTCATCCCAATGTCTTAAATATCTGCCATGCCTCAATTGAACCAGTCCGGCATCACATGCTTAAGGCAACCGGCAACCAATCAAAAGTTGGTCCGAAGGAGACGTCCAACGGCCAGAATGGGGAGAGGGTTGAAACAGCCGTGGTCGTGACGGACAAGGCCCCAGTAACTCACATTAGGAACTATGTGAGCCACAACAGAGAGATGCATGAGTACCTCCCAGAGAAATATGAGCACGACGTCACTCTGCTGCTGCTTCAGGTACTCCAGGGACTCCAGCACCTGCAGATGCACCGGGTATGTCTGAGAAGTCTTAAACCAGACGACTTGCTGCTCGTCGATTCAAGCCTGCCTGGTGGAGGATCATTACTTCAGATCAATCTCCTCATGAGCCACCTCCAGCGAGAATCACAGGGGGACAGTCCCGGGGACATCTACGGATCGCCTGAACAACTCGAGGAGAAGATTGCAGAATTTGACGTCGGGCTCCTGGTGTACGAGTTCCTCCACCGGACTAACCCATTTGCCGTCAAGACAAGTTTGATCACGCAGGAGTACAAACCGGCCCACTTGCCGCCCATCCCAATTAGATCCAGGTACTCCCAGGGACTCGGCCGACTTGCCGGGGAGCTCCTGAGGAAAAAGTCCTCGGATCGGCTGGGGACCAGTCAAGCCATCAACATGCTGCAGTGTTTGTTATGGGGCCCACAGGCTGACCTCCTGCAGGGAACCAGCTCACAGGAGCGAGTGTTACAGGACTGGATGGCCACTGAGCAAGCTAGGAAGGTTGCCAGTATGTGTCAGTATTGCATTCCGGGTGCCAACAGTAACGATACAGGGTATTCCCTTACAGACCAACTACACTGTCAATTTCTGAGTGACATGTCTGTACAAAGTCTTTCAGAGAGTATGAAACTTCTTTATCAATGAATACTACCAGTTTACCAGTGATAACAATAAGTTCAAGGCAACCCCTTATTTCAGTAAAAACTCCTTTTTTTATATATTTTCATAACTGACTAAATGTTCTGTGAAAGCCGGCTTTCCATCTGTACTTATTATATTATTTCAAAACATGAACAAATTCTTAAAATACGAAAACAAGTGCCTCTCTTCTGTTAGACTCTTCCCCAGTGGTTTTCTTTTTATTCTGTGTCATTTGTAACTGAAGTGGAAGGCTGAAATGTGATTTTTTTTTTTTTATTTTAAATAATTTTATGGAACAGTAATGAAATCAGTAAGATAAAGGCAATGAAATATATACAAATTCAAGATTAGTTTTTAACTGTACATGTACTTATTATAAAAAGAAACTTGACGTGAGCACCATTCATCAATTTAAAATGGTGCTTGTACCTTAGACAGTTATTTCATGTTAGATACACGTACGTAGCTAAGTTTTTGTACAATATCTCTTTGTTCATTTCTGTTTTGCGTAGCTGCTGTGTTTTATTATGTGCATAAGATTGTTAGTAATTATCCAACTTGCCAGATTTTTTTTTAAAGCCATGTTTATCTTTGCTAAATATTTTGCTGTGAGTGGAATAGTTCTGTTTGTGCAAAAGTCACCTGATCACATGACCCTTGCGTCTTCTACATGCAATTTTAACTAAAAATCAAATTCATTTGGACTTTGATGAGATGTGTGAAGTGTTGCGTCAACAGTGTTCACTCCGTGTCTTTGCCAATTTTAAATCACTCTTAACTAGCATCCAATTGTGACCTGGTTCAAATTTCTTGAAGCTGCTGAACACAAGTTTTCTTAGCATGGAAAAATTATACCACTCAAAAAAAGTTTATATTCTAATTGAGTTGAGCATTGTTAAGCGTGATTTCTTGCTTTGTTGTAACTTATCACAGCAGCTTTGTGCAGAAAAAAAATAAATGCATACACAAAGTCATGCAGTACATGTATTATGCATAAATCGAATGATAAAAAAAAGTTAAAAACCTGGTTTGGAGAAGAATGTTATAAACATAAATAATGCTTAATCCCTCCTCAATCCTCCAAAATCCTCCTGCCGGTTTTGGATGATTTTAGAGGATTGAGGATGAATGGCAAAGATGTAACTCTTTTTTGTGGAGGATGCATTATGTTGAGCCAGTAGGCCATATCCTGCATTGGTTATGTTCAGCCATGCATAAATCAGCCCTGTGTTTTTCTCGTATTTACTCTGCACTGCTTCTAAACGCCATTCGCACTGCCTCAAACCATAGCCGTAATTGGCATAGGATTTTGGAGGATTGAGGCAGTGGTCACCCTCCACAGACTAAATTCAAGAAAATAATGGATGATTTTGGAGGATTGAGGCTGAATCTAATTTTTTATTGGTGGCAATCGCAGGATTTTGCAGGATTGAGGTTGCATCCTAGCCAGAGGGCCTAGGTGGTTAGAGTTAATTTCACTGGGTATATAAAATTAGATTCTCCACATTTGTTGCTGGTTCCAACAAGTGATCCTAAACAGTACTTAAATGTACCATGTACATGTATGTATGAACGTTTTATATGATCATTTTCAAAGTCATAGTGGTTATTTGATTTTAGCCTATTTGTAGTGAATGCAACAACTGTAATGTTTCGGTTATTAGACTCTGTACTGAAAATGTGTGAAACCACTTTGTTCTTGATAAAAATTGTGACGTGGTATGTCAAAACCAGGCAGAATCAGGTAGAGCTACGAATGAAGAAACGGCTGCAAAATGACAGGTCATTTTCAGATTTTTTTACATTCGTGATGATGCTGATTAAAACATTTTATGTAAGTTTCAAACTGACATTTCATGGACAAATTATTTTTGGACACAAAATGACACTTTGTTCAAGATTTTGTTCTGAAATGACTAAAAATGCACGTAACATTTCAGACAGTCCGATTTCAAAATTTAATAACTTCGTTTTAGAATATCCAGTTTCAAAAACCAAAGCAGCTTTTGAAAGAACAAGGTGTATATTTACTAATATTGCATTAACTCAAAATGACTTCTTGCTCAAAAGTGCCCGAGTTTGACATACCACGTCACAAAATTTATGTCTGAAGCATTGAAAATTAGGATTACACATTTAAAGCAAATGCCGCCGTGTTGGCCATAAAAATGCCCCTGAAATGTTTCAGAAACTGTCTCTGTTTTAGACATGAAATGTCTAAAATGGCGAACAGAGGCATTTTTAAAACATTCTTCAATTGTTCATAGTTATGAAACTTACACTTGCAGCATTGTAATGGATAATTTCATAATGCGGTATCTTAAAATCAGAGGTGTTTTTTAAACATAAATTACAAAGAGTTTTCTAAAGTGAGATATTTGGCTCTGTTTTAATGAGGCAGTTGACGCCACTCAAAGCACGGACAATTTAACTTTCAGGCCCAAAATACGCATCTAATGAGTTAGGTCATGTTGTTTATCAACCGAGACGGAGTTGATCAGGTAACATGGGTCCAGTAAATCTGTGCCCAAATGTGTCGCTAAAGAACGGCATCACATTAAGTGCTTTACGAGCCCAAAATAGACAGCATTTGCATGATGTGCGACATTAAACATTCCTTAATTATAGAAGGCCCATGCACAACACTCTGCAGTTGTGCTGACTTCCGAATGGACCGATCCAGTAAGCACCGCCCCATGGTGTTCTGACCAATCACAGCCGTGATTTATGTCCGACGTGCGTGCACAGAAGTCCGACATGCGTGCACGCGCGTATGATGCGCGCGGCAGGAAAATGCAGTGTGGCATTGGAGAGGAGCACGTGGTAATTTTCCTACCTGCGCAGTGGGCGGGGCTTACTGGATCGGTCCATTGTGAAGTGGGTCACTAGTATGAACTGCAATTATAGCATTGATGATGTTCTCCTTTCTGTTGAACAATCTTTTCAGTGTGAAATAACTGCTGCGTTATGTTTTAAAGTGATGAAGTGCCAATTTTTGACGGTGGAAACAGGATATCCTTGCATGTCTCTTGATCCATGATTCATAATGTAAGGCTTCATTTAAATAGTAACCTAATTTTTACACATTGGGATAGCTGCAAGACATTTTCGGCAAGGAAGGATGAAGACCCCCCCCCCCCCCCCCCAACCAAATTTTTAAAAAAATCAAGTCGGCATTTTTAGTTTAAAATCTTAAAGTTCGGGTTTTTTGGGGTTCTTTTTAAAATCAATATTTTTTTTTATAATTACTCGTTTGGAATTTTAAACCCAGTCCTGTAATTAGCGGTTTTTCTGCTGTTGGATGTGGATAATAAATAAATAAAATCTTAGACCTGAAAAAAGATCTCAGAAACTTGTTAAATGCTGCCTGGAACAAATTTAATCTGAAGTGGTTTTTCTCTTACATTTAAGGACAGAAAAATCACATTGGAGCCCCGATACCCCAAAATATTTTGCTGATTTATAATGGTGCATTTTAAATCTTTGTTTTATTTTTGGAGTTTTTTAATAATATACATTGCTGTGTGTTTGGGTGTTTTAGTAATGTGAAGTAATATTTTTTTTGTGGAAAGCAGATTACATTAGCCGTGCAGTTCATGGGTTTTGTTTCAACGTTTTTTTAATTTTTTAAATAGCTATATGCAATGTGTAATATGCATGCTTTATAGATACAGCGTGTACCATATATGCAGCTTTATGCTCTAAATTATTGTAGATTTCGCGAGCCTATTTATTTTGTTGCAAATTTAAATGTTATTGAAAATACTTTTGTTTGGGTTGGTGTGTATTAATTTAGCATAAAGATGCAAAATACAAAACTGTCAAAGGGAAGTGTACGTCTGGTTTTATTCTTTCCTCTGCGAGTTTTCATTTATCTTCAGTTTCATTGCATAGTATTATAAAGCCAGTACAAAATACAAGCGAACAAAATACAAGCACATGCAAACATAAAACGTAATTTTGAATACAGTGGAATCCCGATAAGTCAAACCTCTGGTTCTTTTCAGAACTATTCTCTTAGTTGAGAAATTATTCGCACATGGTGTTTCCGCAAACCTTTTATTCGTTGGTATCTGCATCATGCAAAGCCTCAAAAACTTACTTAAGTTAAGCAGAGTTTCGAGTTAGAAAATTGATTTTCTATTCAACAACAATTGATGGGAATAAGTTTTTACTTTGAGCCAGAAGGGATTTTTCGTTAATAGGTTTTGACGTATCGAGTTTTCACTGTATTCAGAAAATAAGCCCAAGCTTGTACCGGGTCTGTCCCTTTCACAAAGAGTAAATACATTATTTTTAGGCTAAGAATATAATAAAGAAATGAGAAATATACAAAAGAAGGTAGGCGTATTTAATTACGTTTTTAACAGTTCAATGGAAATGAGCGCTTTGGTGCTTTTTTGTGTAAGCTGCTAATAAAATCACATATAATTTGCTCATTAACAACGTGCAAAAAAGGAACTTCTTGTCGAAACCAATTAGACATAATTATATTGACCGATCTTCAGTTGTACAGCTGCACAAAAAGTGTTGCGTGTAAGGTCACAAAATATATGCCACTAAAGAGGGCGCTATACAGAAACAGCAGTAGTTACTGAAATGCATAGGGGTGCAACCCTGCAAAACAAATCCCATAGACACTAGTGCTAAATGCGCATACTTCAAAATTCTTTTAAAAATACTCACTCTCACAGGTATTCAAGCTGCACAGAAAAATGATGATCAATGTGTCATCTTTCATTTTCTTTTCATTTTTGGGTGGGTTGACCATTGACTTTTCGAGATATTCCCACCCAAAGAAGACGACCCCTATTTTCCCCAAAGCGGAAAAGTGCCAACTTGAAAAACGATCCCTCCACAACATGGTAAAATAGCGCCACTTTAGCCAAATAGCATCCAAAATGCTCAGAATTGGAAGCCCCAAGTCCGGGCCAGAGGTTCATTACCATATCTCTTCAATTCACCAATTGTATGGCTCTCACAACTCTCTAATATAGAATATTTTGAGGGTATAACTTTTATTCATGAGCTCGGCGGACGGATTTCTGGCCTATTTACAGGAGTGCACCCATAGACGAAGTACAAAATGCTAATACACACTGAACAATTCCATATTGTCGCAGAAATATTTTGCGAGAGTTTAGAGGGAGTTGCATAGGTTACCGGTAATGTGTTATTCTCTAGTTTCACCCCGATTACCCAACCTGCTTGAAAACAAAAACAAACGCTTGTTACAAATAATACAAAAATAGGACAAAATCGGCAAATCCAAGAAAATTAAGGAAATTCAGGAAATCTCTCAGGGGGGGGGGGGGGGGATATGCCAATCTAAGAAAATTCAATTTTATAAAGTGAAGCATGTGGAGGGTCAGGGGGCGCTCTTGTGTTTGTGTATGTTTGAAACAATAAAAAGCTTTTAACTTGCCTTAAATTCTGGGCAAGGCAAAATGCCTCGAGCCGGATGGGGTCGTGCCCCCCCCCCCCCCCCCGGGCCCCGGCCCCCATCCCCATCACTCACGCCATCTCGGTTTAGTTTCGCCTTCGATATCAGCGCTGACGATTAAGTTCTTTCCGAATTCGAGAGCAACTGATATGGAAGTGCAGACGCCACTTCTTTGTGTACAAAGCCCAAGCGCATTTTCAAAGTAGTCTTACAAAATTGGAAATGCTTCTCAGTCCCAGATTCATGTCTATTTTAACATTTCTGCAATGTGACCTACATTGAGTTAAAGGGAATATACATCATTTGCTTTTGCTGTAATTTTCAGAAATAGATGGAATTGGGGGGTTGGAAATATATAGCAAATATAGTTACACTGACTTTTTTGAGGTTTTGGGTTCGAAAATGCTATAAAAACCAAGAAAAACAATCATTTTCCTGTAGTCTGGTTCCCTGACTTCATTTAAGAAGAAACAGAGCAGTTTACATACATTGGGGAATTGTAAGGTCAGGGAACCAGTCTAGCTGGCTTGTACCCGTTCATAGGTGTGTAATCGATTGCAAACAAGTGCGATGGTCAACTGGGGCCAGTATTTGAAAAAAAAGCCAGTTTTTTCCAACGCTGATCGGCCGATAAGCGTTGGAAATTGATACAAAAATACCACTTTTCTTGAAAATGACAGTATACCAGGTGCCATGATTTTACAGGATGCTTTACACTGTCATTCACTAACAGTCCAGCAAGGTATTTCAAAATGATTTGGTAGTTTTATTTTTTTATGTTTGCAAATGTTGTATTTTCCCTTTAATGATGAAAAAGTGGCGTCAGGATGCAACATTCTTTCCGTCGGAAAAAAAACCCAATAACTTAAAGTGGTGATTACTGAATATTCGTTTTTTTTTCTCTCAAATAAACCACAAATCTGGCTTGCGGGTTTATGGCTTCTGACCGGAACGGCGATCCGGAGGTCGTAGGTTCTAACCCGGCAGCTCAAGTCAATTTTTTGTTCAACTTTTAAAAAAGAACAGTAAATCAGAGGCGTCTTTAAACTGTGCTCGCTGTTACTGTCCTTATTATGCAAAGGCGTAAAATTTTGATGGATGCTAAATTGAGGCAAAGGTACTTAATTTCAGTCTTGGGGGAAAACAACTTTAAAACGGGCCATTTAAAGTTTAGTTTAGGCCTATTTTATAAAACGAGTTTGCCTCCTGGACTGATGAATAAACTAACGTGTTTATACAGCATGGTGGCGCTATTACCAACAACAAATAGTCTGAGAGTAAAATGTCTGGTATCTGCACTTCACATCACTTCTACCATCGATATACTGGACTTTGCTCGAATAGCTCCAGCTGCATAACATTTTGCGCAAGAGTGAGGCGACCAGGAAGGCAAGAAAATATCACCATTTCAGCTGAAGTGTAAATAATGAAGATGTTTTGGATTTGTAAATGTCCTTCAGCTTGACGTTTGTCACCTGTAATTTCTCTATATTCTGATCCCAACGAAGTGAAAACGGTGTTAAGTTTGAGCATTTCACCAGTGTCCACCGACCGACATCGTCCGCATCGCCTTCGCTCTAGTCTTGTTTCCTCGAACGCACCACACATGCACCGGTACGTATGACATGTATGATGTAGCAAAATCCCCGCGGGACCCCGTTTCGTCATCGAACCATTTCTCTGAAGGTTGAATTCTATCGCTAGCATTTGTCAATCAGCTGAACATTTGCCAAGCACCTTCCGTCTTGTGTCCTCATTATTTGCCAGTCTGTCACGTCAGTGGCAGGGTGCCATCAACTTAACTGCAGCATCTTCACTACAATAAAGTACGAGTACGACTGCAGGCAGGCGTGGTGTGTTGGCATTGCTGATCCATTTCAAAACCAGGTGAGTCTTTTAATGTTCACAGTCAAGTGCCCACGCATGAAATATAAATTAAAGTACTACAATCATCAGAAAAAAAATGTATTAAATCCTGTTGCTTAACACAAAGGTTTAAATTGCCTTGACGAAGGCTAAGGCTCCGGGCCCCATTATATTGCTTGGCCACGCAAGTTGAATAGCTGTGTAAGTCCAGTGCATGGCCATACCGGTAGAATGGGACTAACAAGGGCTATATGGATTCATAAACAAATTCTAATATATGTCTAAGAAATTTAAAAAAAATTGAAAATGAATACAACTGCTGCTAACTTGTTGCTGACTGGATTGACCTGAAAATGTACAAATAAAAAAAAAATTAAAAAATGGAGGGCTCAGCATTTTCAACCTGACCGGATATTTGAGGAATCATCTCAAAGCCAGTTTGGCAATCTGAATTATTTTTCTTTCCAAAAATAATTCCCAAATTGCAGCTGTATCCATTTGTAACTTGCAATTGAACTTGCACTTTGATATCCTTGGTAGTGCTATGTAAATTGTTCAACATTTTTATGCATGCTGAGACGTGCTCTTGCTTTAAAACAGGACTTTAAAAAATGGAACTCACAGGAATGTTTTTTTTGCTGCTGCTGCTCTTATGCACAGAACACATGAGTCGGAAAGAATGTAGTCTCCAGACGCCACTTCAGCGGTTTCCTAACAAGATTGTCAATGTTACTCTGTCCAAGATTCGTGTCTTTTCAACATTTTTGCAATGACTGACCTTAATGAGGCGATTTATACGAAGAAAAAAATGGCATCAGGTTGCAACATTCTTTCCCATGAATCACAGTAAAAAAAAAAAAAATCCTTCAATTTTTAAGATTTCCTCACCAAGTAACTTACAAGGAAGCATATTTTCCTGATTTTATAGGTAGGGGTATCGAAGATAAAATGTTTCCACAAAAAAGTCTGTTGTTAACTTTGTGGTTGTGAATTGATCAAGACAATTATTAAAAGGAATTGAGTTTGCTTGAAAATGAGCCATTTGTTATTTTGTCCCATCCCTCCTCATTAGTACTCTAGTGCAATGGTACGACAGATTAGTTTGTGTACAGTGTGCCAGAACATGTGATCTTGAAGTTACTGTTTGTTAAAGGCTGACAATTTGATGAAAGACAAAGTGTGGAATTCTTGTGACTGATATAATATTCACATACTTCAAACTTTGGGTGGCCACTCACTGTATTTCCCATAGGTGGGTATGTAATGTTCAATTTGGGTTAATTACTCTCTCAGCAAAACGGAGAGTAGTCTGATGAAAATTGGAAGTTCATTGTGTAATTCTGAGCATATGTATCGCATTTCCTGATTTGTGTTCTTGTAGTCTGGGATAATCCTACACGTCCTCTGCAATCATCATCACTAAGGGATGCCTCATCTAGGCTCCACCCATCAGCCGCTGATCTCCTTTGACTTATCGACAGGAAGGAGGAGCTTTGTCTTTTGTGTCGCCACAAAGTGATTTGGAAGTGGGATGATAATGCAGTTGATTGTGTGTCGGGGGCATGTACGGACAGACCATCTCTACCCAGGCAGGAGACGGCCGGTGCGGTTCGGAGCTGCAGTGTCCATCTCGTCAGTCTCGCTCGTAGATGGAGCCCTCACGGTATGGCCGCCCCAGCTAATGACAACGACCTCTTCAGTCCGCTATCACTGAGTGTCGTTTGCAACCTGTGCACCGCCAAGATGCAGACTGTGGCCGATTTGCTGCTGTTGACCAGCGACACGCGGCCTGTGAACACGGACAACGTGACGGGCGCGGTGGGGGAGTCTTTCTCCAAGTGCCGGGACACGCTCATCGCCAAGACCAAAGGGGTAGGGATATTAAGCCGGGAAATACGACTGCAGTTCCTCACAGGAAAGCTACAGGAAACAGCTGAGATGCTGAATGAGTTGACGGACCTTGTTGTGAACATCATAGAGTGTTCCAGCCACGCTGCGTATCTGGCCGCGATCAGCGAATCGGGATCAAAGCAAGCTGTGCCCGGGATCATCGATCGGTATAAGATATCCCGAGCCAGGTTTGACATAGAGCATTGCTGCATGAGGCTGCAGTGCACCCCACTCATGGAGCTCACTCCGCAAGTTGTAGTGGACATCTCCACAGAGATTGCCAAGAATCTAACCGTCTTAACGAACGCCAGCAAGCTCGCCAGCGATGCCAGTGACGACCCTTTCCACAAGGAGCAATTTAAGCTTGCCATCAAGAGCGTGACTTCCTGCACCAGCACACTTCTCTTGAGCATCCGGAGGTACAAAGTTACACTGGATGAGGCTAATCGAGGACGGTGCATCACTTTTGCCAAACCTCTCGTGCAATCTTGCCAAGCTCTAGTCGAGTACGCCACAGAGAGAGAACACATAGGGACTCCCGCGCAGCTTTGCGAGAGTGGCCGTAAGATCCAGACAGCGATACTCGGTGGCTGCATGAGCATCGCCAGCTCCTGCATCCAGTTGGCCAGCTGCCTGCGAGCGGCATCCCTGGACCTGCACAACACGGAACTCTTGCAACGATTAGGGCTGTGTTGTAACGCCGTGGCTGACGGCGGCAAGCTGCTCTCGCAGGCGTTGCGGGACAAGAGCTCACCTAGAACGTTACCGTCCACCTCAACCAACTCGCTAAGTTCCAACGGGTCGACTAACTCATTCCCCAATGAAGGAGACAGTCACAGCAGCTGAGACAGGTCATAGCAATAAAATGATCAATGACTTACGTGTGCAAAATTAATGAATTGTTTCCTGTTACACGAAGCAAGTCAGCCTCCAGTAGGGAGCTATAAAGTAAGGCTGTATCAGGGCGTTCCAGTTGCAGATAAATATTAATAATATGTATACTTCACTTTATTTCATAGACACTTGTGCATCTAGATACAATGTGTGCTTTATTTGACATGTACTTGTACACCCAACGTACATGTACCTAGTATGAAGGAAAGTATGGGTGGGAAACGTCACAATTTTTATTTAAAATGTAAAGTCGGTCCCAAAGTTTGGTTAACCCAAAGAATTCACATCAGGCCAGTTGATAATTATTTCCTGTTTACAAGGGTTTTGAGAAAATACATGTATTGCCGGTTTAGAAGGTAGGTTTGGACATTGAACTGATTGAAGGACACATGAACTCCCCACTTGAGAATTAACATGGAATCCACTGTGGAATCCATACTGTGTTAGACTGGAAACAAGACTAAGAAAACTACTGACAAATTTTAAATCCCTTCAAATTTCTGAGTAGATTCCAAGAACTGTTGGGGGAAATGCACTCAGTTCTTCCCACGAGGTTTATCTAGCGCGTACAAGCATCTCATTGATAATATTCACACAAAAGTAACTGCTGAGTTTTTGGTTCCAGCAGTATTTTATGAATCATTTTTTTTTCTTTCAAAACTCTGTTTGGAGACAAACAAACTTGAACTGAAGAGATACACATGTAATGTGTAAAAAATGCCATGGTTAAGTTGAGAAATAAAACACAGTTTATGGAAACAGTGCAAAAAGCCCTAGTAAAAAATTAATACAAAGTGGTTAAGTATACATGTAGTGGTCTCCTTTTACTTTGATTGTACATGTACATGTAACAGAAACTGAAATCATGAAATCCCCAGTAGTACACTGCATTGTTGATTGTTAAAGGGTGGGTTTTGTTTACCTTCAGTAATGTGCATTGCACAATGCGTGTTCATGTGTACACGCACCATGCAAATGCATGAATCATGTGTGTACACATGTACATGTACACAATACATGTACTGGTACAGTGTATACATGTACAATGTACATGTGTGCATTTTTTTCTTGTGGACAACTTTACTGCAATAGTCTTGTCAGATCTCTGGGTATCACAAATAATTGTTTTTGGTACCTGTTATACATGTATTAAGCATGTTTCGGCCCAATTTTATGGAACTGCTTTGCCAAGAAAAAAACTTCCTTTTGGTACATTTTTTGTGTAAAACAAAAATGGCTGTGAACAAGTTGCGAGCAATGTGTACAGAATTCCATGTAAATCCCATTTTTTTTCTGGTAACTTTTCCTTACAACTGTGCAAATTTTACTTCCGTAGCAGCGCTGTATGAAATTGTCGTCTATTCATATGTAATTTTCCATTGGGCTAAACGCCACTTATTAATTGCCTACAAAAAATTAATCTCAGCTATTCTAAAGTGGTTGAAAACGGAAGCACATGCAGAACCTTGCCTTGTGCAAACACAGAAAAAAAGTAGATTTTCAGCTGAAATATAACCTGACTTCAGTTCATTGCAGTTTTCATGCAAGTTCAAAACTGGCACCACCTGTAGACTTTGCACGATGCTTGCAGGCTCAGATAGTAACTTTGACTGGACTGAACTTTGGAGTCTATATTTGTGGGCATATTTTATTCGGTTGACCCATCAACAAAGTGAGTCAGTGTACAATAGGGCTCAGGACCTTTGCATCTCTTATTATTTCAAATCGGGTACTGTGTAATTGCAGTATTTTCTCAAAAGCAGTAAAACGCTATACATCGCTAGTCATGCAAATCTCCTCTCCCCCCCCCCCCCAAAAGCACAAATCAAGGGCTTCGTGTATTATTTAATATTGTGTTTGGAGACCCGATTTCAATTTTCCTGTTTACATTATGAGGAAGTAAGATAAGTATTTGTGTGTGTGTGAAATAACATTTATGAGGAATTCATTTTGCGCAAGTTTTTAGAAGTTTGTCAAAAATTACATACACTGTACATGTAACCAATACAAAATAGACTTACATGTACATGTAGTTATCTGAACTTTACAATACACATACCTATGTACTTGAAATAGAAAAGAAGATTTAGGACTATGGGAATACATGTACACTGTAGCTTTCCAAGCTTAATGTAAAACATGTACATGTAGTGAGGCCTGCTCAAACAAAGCGATAGTAGTTAACTAAAAGTTGCAAAAAAATTGAGTTCTGAGATTTCATTATCTTTCTGATTGAGCAAAAACTTGTGACTTGTTGCAGGCAGATAACAAATTGTATACAAGTGTGTTACTACAACTAACATTTTATTACTGTCTTATTACATTAGAGTTGATTGAATTGAGTTCCAACAAACGAGAAAGAAATCGGAACATACTGTAGTGTCTCGATTTGATTGAATTAAAATGCGCATTTTTAATTAAATGAAAAGAAATACATGACAAAAAGCTCATAATATTTATAGCTGATTCTTTCTCCAGTTAAATTGCAAAGATATAATGATATATGATATTCCATCCTGATATTTTGTTGAGCCTTTTATTTACACTCATGTACAAGTGAAACATAATGTACATTAATGTATGAGAAGAAAATGTACATTTTCCGGAATGTTATAAGATAATTTTTACCTTGATCATGGATTGTTAATATGCCGCAATCTGCTTTAAACACAGTGGGATATTTTAGTGTGCTATTTATAGACTTGAAATTGAGTCCAAATATTGGGAATAAACTTTCTGTCGGTGAGTGAGAGACATCTCGGCTAATTTAAGGATTGTCTCAACAATGCGTTCCAGGTTCATTTTGAATGCGCAGTTTGAAAACGTGGCTTCAGCTGGAATGAACCGTTCCATAATTCGCCATGGCATTTTTGTTTGGCCATTACTGGGGTGCGTCTGTATTTCGAGTGCCCATCACACCGACTCTTAAAATACAAGCTGCACGTGCGCTTAGTGACGCTTTTTTTTTTCTCTCACCACATGACTTAAGGTGTATGCATTGTGTTAGATCTTTACCAAAATTGAACTTTGGATCTTAACTTATTACACATGTTGGATACCATTCCCATTTGAGATTAGCTGGTGTCTCAGATTATCCCACTTGGGAACAGGGTGTGTCTCCCCCCCCCCCCAAGTGTGTTATTACCAATGGAATGTTCTAAGAATTCTAAATGTTGATACACTCCTTTCATGATGTTGGGTGCAATTTAATAAGTTGAGCAGCATGCCCATTAAAGGGGATATGTACAGACACTCTTGTTTTACTATACTCTCGAGGACAATGCTTTGTGTTTCCCTTTGTCCCTGTTATATAACACTCTCCTATAGACTAAGCACACAAAGTTACTACAGAGGACTGTTCAAACAAAAGACCCAACTCCTGAGGACTTAAAGTATCTATTGTTCTCCTTTTGTAAAGCCCGGTTCATACTCTGCGCGAAAGCGTACGCTAATTTGTGACGTCGTAGCAAGTATTCGCGCTGTGAATTTGTAAAAGTTGAACATATTTCAACAATTTCGCAGCGAACGTTTCATGACGTCAAATTCGCTTCGCATTCGCATTGGCCTGAAGTATGAACCGGGCTTTAGTTGCTGCTCGATGGTTATGTAGAACACAGTACAGTGCCACTGGACCATGTTTTGCATTAAACATGACCAATAAATGCTAGTACATGTACGGTATGTATGTACATGTACATGTACATGTACAATCTATGTACATGTAGGTTGTTTCCAATATTTAAACTCAAGTCTATGAACGTACCGTACCATGTTGTTGTACATGTACATTGTTGGGTGATAATTTTTTTTCCCCAGTATTTAAAAGCACCGCCTGCAATTTCTATATATCCATACCCATGATTGGACAAGATTGCCTAATATTTTGCCAATAAAGTGTTTAAATACTGTGATGAATGAAATCAACTTTATTATATTATTATGATTGTGATGAAGAGTTGTACAAAATTTATACCCTGGTGGGTCTGTTCATAGCTCAGTGACTTTCACAAGTTATTTCTCTGGAGATAATAAAAGTTTACTAGTTATTTATCAACGAAAAAAAAAATATTTGTTTCTTGTCTTATTCACTCTGGATTGGTTTTCTTTCATGTACAATCCCTTGTATTTGATATATATCTCCCTCGATGCCAAAGTTCCATATTTAACAAGATGAGGCAAGGCAAGTATTGCTGGTCCCAGAGTGCACAAAATTCTATTCAATAGGTCTCTCTCAAATGATGTCACTGCCTACTGATTGCCACGTGCATCGGCATTTTGAGAGTCGAATTTTCGTGACGCGCATCGCCTGTGCCGTATTTCGTGACGTGCATCACCTGTGCCGTATTTCGAAGAAATTTCGAGCAACATGCGCGCATGTTTAGAACAATTTGCACACTGTGCGCACACGCACCTGATGGCGTTGAATGCACAGTTGGAATTTTCCTACGAAGATGGCTGTCTATGAGAGGGTTTTTTGGCTATTCACTGGAATTCTTTTCATGCATTCTGGTCTACACAGTGGGCCAGATTTAGCCCATTCATTGGTGTTATTGGGTAATCCTATACGATAGCACTGCCCGGCTCATGTCACCAGTCTAAGTGATGGCATTGAATACACAGTTGGAATTTTCCTACAAAGATGGCTGTCTATGAGAGGGGTCCATTGATTCAGAATGGCTATTCACTGGAAGTCTTTCCATGCACAGGGCCCAATGTCATAGAGTTGCTTAAGCAGAAAATTTGCTTAAGCACGAAAAAACATTGCTTAGTAAAATTAGGTTACCGGCCAAAACTCCATGTGATGTACATTGCTTGTGACTGGTATTTAGCTGTTGTTTACTTAGCATAACAATCGCATGAAGTTTTGGCCGGTAACCAGATTTTATTAAGCAAGACGTTTTTGTGCTTAAGCAAATTTTGTGCTTAAACAGCTCTATGAAATTGGCCCCTGGTCTCATTTGTTTGCATTATTGGGTAATCCTATACGATAGCAATGCCCGGCTCGTTTCACCATTCTACAACCAGTCCAAGTCCCAAGTAACAGTCAGTCTGTCAGTCAGTGACATGGGTGCAAAAGAGGAACCCTAGGCTGGCCCTCTAGCAACAGCAAAAACGATCGAGAGCATGACTTCATCAAAAACCATCCTTATGACGGGGCCGTATCATAAGTCCGATGCCTCATAGGTCCGACGCCTCATTAGTCCGAAATTTCGGACTTATGAGGGGTCGGACTTATGAGGCATAGAATTTATTTATTCCGCCTCATAAGTCCGATCTTCATCAGTCCGACGCCTCATAAGTCCGACGTCGGAAAAACAAGGCGTTTTAATTTGTCGGACCTACGAGGCGTCAGAGCTATGAGGCGTCTGAGCTGTGAGGCGTCGGACTTATGAGGCGTCGGACCTATGAGGCGTAGGACTTATGGGCCTTTATTTGGTTAGGGGATGCGATTTTGTCGGACTTATGAGGCGTCGGACCTATGAGGCGTCGGACTTATGAGCGGACCCCCTTATGATGACACAAAATTCAAACAACATCGCAAGAGTGACATGAATGTGCAGTCAGAAAAAGTTAAATTGCAAACTGTAAACCTGGGTTCCAATATCACTG